CTTCAGCTATCCAGGACCCAAGACATTTAGGGCTTTATGGGTAAGTACCAGCACCTTGAATTGGGCCCGGACTTCAGTTGGGAGCCAGTGAAGCTGGTAAAGGACTGGCGTTATATGAGAATAATGACCAGTCCCCGCCAGCAGCCTGGCAGCTCTATTTTGCACCAATTGAAGTATCCAGACTGTTTTCAAGGGCAGTCCCACTTGGAGCGCATTACAATAATCCAGCTGGGAAGTTACCGGGACATGCGTCACCGTTGCTAGGCAGTGCTCATCCAGGTAAGGACGCAGCTGTTGGATCGGCAGAAGCTGAAGGAAGGCGCTCTTTGCCACTGCTGTCACCTGGACCTCCAGGGACGGCTCTGCGTTGAGGAGCACTCCCAGGCTGCAGACCCTGTACATTATGTACATCATTATGTACATCATTCTCTACTGTCATCCTCAAATAATTAAATCATAGGCTCAGAATTCTTTAATTCCAAGTGTGCATCTTTTGCTTATGGTTAGGTTGGTGGGTTGGTGGGGCCTTGTTAAAAGCACAAACCACCAAAATAGATCCCACAAGCTTGACATGGAATTCACTTCTGATTTAAAAACATGGAACAAAAGGAAGGGGGAGGGAAAAATGTTAATTCAAGGCAGGGTAGGAAACTTGGAGCCCTTTAACCATGAACCATTAACTCCATCCAGTGTGGCCAAGGGTCAGGGATGGTGAGAGTTGTTAGGCTGGTATTCCCCTTGCAATGCTGTTCATCTGGGAGGCAAGGATGGCACCCATCCCCACCTAGCAAAGAGCCCTCCTGGCTTCCTAGCCCCTTCCCTACATTATACCACAGACCCTGTCCCACATAGCACCTTCTGTGTTCTATTTATTAGAGTTATATCCTGCTTTTTTCTTACAGATGCAAAACAGCTGACATCATTCTCCTCCTGCTGCTCTCAGTCTTATCCCCACAACAACCCTGTGAGGTAGGTTGGCCAGAGAGTCTGTAACTGGCCCAAAGTCAGTTGGTCCCATGGCCAAGCAGGGAGTAAAATCTAGGTTGTCTAAGTGCCAGTCCTGCATCCTTAACCAGTGCACTGGCACTTGCTGTAGCCTTCCTACCTACTCCAAATATTTCATAAATTACCTTCTCTCTCAAGTCTTTGTTGTAGAGGACATCATAGTGTGAGCAGGCGACAGAGTAGCGGGGCACGCTCAGCACTCCCCCGTGGGTCTTCGGGCCATGGGCAAGCTGCGTGGTGGTGGACAATCGTGGAATGACCTCATTTTGCAACACTTTCTCAGAGGCCGGGGGCAGCGGCTCATGGATTGTCGACTGTCAGTGGGTGGTGATGGGTAATATATAAAAGGCAGCAAACAATCAGGAAAAAATGATTAACTGATGCAAACAGATCCCATGGGTCCTTGTAGCACCCTCTCAGTAAGCCTTCCCCAACCAGGGGCTCTCCAGAGGTGTTTGCTTACAACTCCCACAGGCGCCAGTCAGGCAGATTGGAACTGTGGGTTGTGGTTCTACAACACGTGGAGTCACCCAGGTTAAATCAGGCTGCAGTAGACCCAATTCCTTCCAGCGGACTCAGGCTTCCTGTTTCTAGACACCATTAGCTCTCCTGCGGAAATCGGGGATCTCAGACCCACCCCCAAAATAATATCGATCCCCTTGATCCGAATCCAACCAGCCAGCCCCACTCGATGTCGCCTGCTGGCTCACTCGTGCATAGGGCGGCGGGAATGGCAGCGGGGGGCTATAGTTGAGCCCTACTCCGCTGCTGGTCTGCCTCCAGTCTTGCCTGCGTCCTTCGGGGGCCCCCGCCGACACGGAGTCCACCTCCCAGCCGAGGGGAAATGAGGAGAAAGTGCCTGCCATGGCAGCCTCTGCTTCAGGGGCATGGTTGCAGGCGAAAGCAAGCAAGGAGGCAGCTAAGGGTACCAACAAAGGGGCGGGAACAATGGAATGTTTGGGATAAACGTTGCCATGGCGATAGAACGCTTGGCAGCCATGCGTTCTATCCGTCCTTTGTCAGCCCTGGATTCGATTGGTCCGTAGAGCAGGTTCCCAGGGGGATGGGAAGGAGTCAGCACTTTGGAGCTCACTGAGGATGAGGAGCGGGTAAAAGGATCGCGGCTAGTGAGCCACACTGAGGGGATCGGATGGGCTACGTGCCGTGCAATCTTGCACGTCCACGACTCACCTGTTGCCTTTAGGGAGCAGCACGCCCCTCCGTTGCATGTAGCCCCTAACCTTAACCAGACGCGGAAGTAGGCTTCCACCCCTCCTGTCTAAACCAGGACTCCCTTACCCGCTCCTATCAGCCCCAGCCAGCATGGCCAGGTTGGAGAAGGCTGTCCCACGCCTTTTCTGCATTACTCTTACATAATGGTGCATTAGGACCGAGGCTTCAGTCGGACCTGTTGTTGTTGTTGTCTGGCAGTCAGGAGTCCATGACCATAACAGTGGTGAGGGTGACCATCTTATAAATTTATCCCCTTTAACTTTTTTGTGAGTCTGCACTCCTGCATCCTTCAGCATTTTCCCTGCATGCTAATACCTCCCCCTTTTGTTTCCCAGTGCCCTTGTTTGAGCTTCATCACAGTTATCGGCACTGAAGCTCTGCAGTTTGCTTTAGAGTGAGCACTGCAGTCCTTCTGAGAGTTTCAGTAAGCCTTGCAAATCTCGAGATTGTGGTAAGTCTTACTAGGCAGGTGGGAATACTTTTGGGCCAAGGCCTGGATTGCCCCCACCTTGCTACCACACAGGCTAGATGGCACTGGGGGAGGGACCCTCACAAATGAGAGCAGAGCACCTGGAGTCTTATTGGGCTGTTTGGGGAGTCCCCTCCCTGCCACAATAAGATTTTACGTATTCTAGTGTTTTCCTACTTTGGCAAACTGTGTGGTTTCCCGAAGTTTGCCAGTACCTTAGTCTTGGCACTGATGGTGCCATTTTGTTACCTTATGCAACAGCACTCACAACCTGGACGTCATAATGAGAATAGTCATGATTAGACTTCTGGATAAGAATGCAAACCTAGGCATGTTCAAACAGAAAAAAGCCTACAGCTCTCAACATTCAGAGCAGGGAGTGGCTGGGAGTTGCAGGGGGGGTTTTTTCTGTCTAAACGTATATTTGATGACACCCTAAGACATATCCCCAGTTTTCTGCAACTGAGATTGTAGTGTTTTAATAAATACACTTCTCTTTGCACAGATTATTAGGTGTCTCCTTGTTGGATCAATATTGTAGAGCTGTCATTGCCCTCAGTTCACCTATTCCTCTCTCTCCATGAACTTAGAAACATAGCAACTGAGTCAGAAGGGGCTTCCCGGGCCACCTAGTCTGACCCCCGGCTCCAGCCAGCTCCACTCATGACATGAAACTTCTGATTGTTGGGGCTTCTGCAACGCTTCAAGCAGAACCTGGAAAAAGCTGGTGCAACTCTGTACAAAAGAAATGAATTAATGAATAAAATAAAAATAGCAATAATGCATAAAGAGGTTGAAAGAGTCATTGTTTGGATATTGACTTGAAAAACCACAAGACAGTGTTCTGGGTGCCCCCAGTAGTAATAGTCATATTTGGACCACTTTGAAATCCCACAACTGCTACCAACAGCAGCAGCATAAAGGAATTAATTACGGTAGTGGGGAGTCTGTTGCCTTCCAGACATTGTTGGTCTCTGACTCCTATCAGCCCCAGCCAGCATGTCCAGTGGTGAATGGTGATGGCAATTGTAGCCCAACATCATCTAGAGGGCCATACATTTCCTCCCATCTCTGTAAACTCTGTACAGTGTAAAGGATGTGTGAATATCCATTTGTGCAAGATTGTGCATAGCAACAGCTCTTGTAGCTCTTTAACATGAAACATAGGCTATCATGATGATATCATATTTGTGAGGAACAAAAAACACAAAACAAGGTTGTGTTCCTGATGCCCCCATTTCTATTCTTGCAATGGCATTCTTGCAATAATTTTCACCTTGTTGTTCTCTAACATGGATTGTTGTTGAAGATGCTTCCCACCAGTGGGAATCCTTCTCAAATTAGAAAGTTTTGAAATTCCAGTTCTGGCCATTAGGTGGAACTCGAGGCCAGAGAATACTTTTCCTTCTGATGTTTCAGAGGACTTCTGGAGTTTCCTACACATCAACCCATGGAGTTGGAGAAAGGGGATATATATGCAGCTGCTGGAGACAAAGAAACATTAGCCGACCTTACTATTAATCACCTGTTCTTCCTGAATCCCTGTTGGCCATTCCCCACTCTTGGAGGACAGGGTTGCTGTGTGTACAACGTAGCCTATTACATTTTCTCCAGTTACGTTTGCTAGCCTCTGCTGCACAGTGTGTTGTGTGGGATCCCATCAATAGTGCTGAAATAAAACTCAACTGCCATTCCAGCAGGTTTGTATTCATGCAGTAAGGTGGGTGGGGAGCAACAGAGGTGGTTTCTTTCCATACATTCAACCTTTAATGTAATTATCACAGTCTGTATTTTGCATGTATTCTCCCTCTGGCCTCACTGCTTGCTGTTCTTGTATGCTCATACCTACCCACACCTGCCAATCTAAGATAACACACCATGCATCTGATAAAATTTATGCTATAATACATTTGTTAGTTCTGAGAGTGCCACAAGATCTTGTGTTGTTTTTGAAACTTGCAGATTCACACCTGCCCAGAGCTCTAAAACACTGGAAAATGTTTTTATAGCTGTTTTATATGCTGTTTGAATAGCCTGCATACACAGAGATAGGAATTCATCACAGAGCAAAAGCACTTGTAAGGAGAAAAGTCAGAGATAAAATTGGGTTCTATATAGTTGTCTAAGATCACATGATACAAGGTCTTGAATACTATAATGGAAGAAAGATAGGTGGGATGTCAATATACTAACATAGAAATACACACACAGAGAGACTTGAGTAGGTATATTAGGACAAACAAGTCCTACACTCTTATTGAAGAAGAATTACACACAGAAAGATGATCAAGACTCCAGTACCTTTATTTAGGAAGCGCCTACGAAGAGCACAGTACTGAGGCAAATGGTTTCCCAAAGATCTGGAATCTGAAATGAAAAATTGAGGGCTCTAGTCCATGCAGGCTGCCCCTTAATGGTGCCTCTTGTGGGTAAAACTGTCAATAGCTTCTAGTTCTGATAATGATAGGTTGCCTCTAGTATTAGAGGCGGTATGCTTGTCTACCAGTTGCTGGACAACACAGGTGGGAAGGTGTTGTTGCACTCATACTCAGCTTGTGGTTTTGCTCTGTCTTCTTGTATTTTTATGAGATACCTTGTTGGGCCTGGAGGTGGAGAGCACATCCATCCATAATGGTTGAGTATGTCCTGTAATATGGTCTGATGGAAAAAGCCACAACTTCACTAGCCCATGTGGCACCATGGACTATGACCCAAGTGACTCTAGACTTAATGACTTTTAGATGATACTTTAGTTAACTACCATTTCCCTCTGGAACAGAGGAAGTCGTCTTAGAATGAGTTAGAACTTTGATCCATCTAGCTTTGGCATAGTTGACATGGATTGGCAGTGTTTTTCCAAGGTTGAGGTGGGAGTTTTTCCTGAGATGTATATTTACTTGAGAAACATGAGCTCTACTTTGATGCAGAAAAGGGTTATATATTTTTAAAATCATAAAGTGAACATCTGTAACCATGTACATGACTGACTTGCTACTCCCTAACTCTAAAATGTTTCAGGATAAGCAAGGATGTTGCAGCTTCTACTGCTCTCTGGATGGTCATTTGGCAGCCCTGGGCTCTGCCCCATGGTTCATTCCTCACTGTACCTCTAATGTCCCATTCCTCCTTCTACATTTCTCTCTATAGGGCTTATGGTGCATATGCATGAAGTATCGATTTTGATCCATTCCCACCTCACAGTGTTGGGCGAGTCCATTGTGAGGGCCTTCACAAATGATTGTGCTGTACTGCATGTAGAGTTCCAGTAGCGTAGATCCACTCCCCGGCAGCCATCTCTTGTACCCCCATTTGGATTGCACTTGGTCTCAAAGAAATACTGCCTGTATCGGCCATGAGGGGTAAGGATCTCAGAAGCCACCATCACGTTCCTACCCCTTATGTTCACCGCTGTATGCTTATCTGTCACCCAGGTTGTGATCATGTCACAGGCTGTCTGTGAAGACTGAGAAGGGAAGTCCTCCGAGGAGGGTTGGACTGTAGGTTCCTGTCTAGAAACAGCAACGTGTGGAGAGATGAACTCCCATTTCCTGAGTGGTGACTCGGTATAGAAAACATTAGCAGTGTAGGGGACAACAGTAAGGGGCATGGCATGGGTGGTCCAAAGCACTGGGGTAAGCACAGCAAGGAGCAGAGAAAGCATGGCAGGAACCTGTACGGGAAGGGAGACAAAAGCAATTCTGTTAGAATGATTGCCTCAGCTTCTTAAGAAAGGTTCTTTGGTCAATAGCCCACTGCTGCCTTCATTTCCCCTTCATTACCACCTGTCACTCTGGTATAGGGCAGGGCTGAAAATTCATCCTGTCAAGCTCTACTTTATTTATTTATTTAAAGTATTTATATGCCGTCCTGTCGTGAAAGCCTCAGGACGGCTCGCATAGATAAAATACAATAAAATATGACATAAATAAAATTATCGACCCACACTGGCTGCAATAAAAACATATAGATCATGACATTATACAGTTACAGCCAGTTGGGTGTGGCCAAAGTTAAAACTGGGCAGAGACGGAGCCGAAAATGGGTGATGTCAGAAGCAAAGAGTTGGGGTTGATAAAGAAGGCAAGATTTGCAAATTATGACTCACTCCCTGAAAAAAGCTACCCATTTTCACATTTACATATGCTAATGTATACATGTATGCTGATTTAGAAAGAATAAGTCCAAATGGAAAATTGCATCTAGCTGACCTGTGTATGCTGCTTGATATGATATCCTGATGATGTTAATAACTCTCAAAGCCCAGCTCTCTTTTCTGATGTTTTACTTTGCTTTTTAATCTTTTAACTGGGCTAAGATGGCACCTTCAAAACAGAGGACCGTGTTCCATTAGGAGGACACATGGCTGGCCTGGAATAGTTAAAACCTGAGCAGCAGGCTAATGAGGCAGGTACACAATCTTCACACTATGGTAGGTTGTACTGCATTTCTCTTTATCATAATTATTTCTAAATTTGCACCACTGCATATAAACTAAAACATGTAAATGTTGTCCTCTTTTGGGGTGATGCAGTTCCTTTTTCTAGGTGATTTATAAGTGGCCTCCCTAATTCCAGCAAAGCCAAAATGGAGCAAAACAAAGTGGTGATGTTTTCAGAGTAGACAGGTCTTGTACAGTGGTCCATGGTCTGCATGAAACCAGGCCAAGGTCTCAGGTCACAGGTTTCCTGCCCCAGCTTATACAAATAGCCAGAGTTCCTTAAACAAGGCCAAAGGATTTCAAGGCCCTAAACAAGCCTAAGGAAGCTTTCAGAAACTTACCCATGGAGGGCAGGGATACTAAGCACAACAGAAGCAGCAATCACAGTCATATATGCTCAAGGTCCCAGGAGAGCCAACCTCAATGACAGAGCACATTCGTATCTATCTAAGGATAACTTGTGGGCTCCCAAAAACCATGGGGAACCACAGGCTTGGTGTTAGGGTTTTAAGCAGAAGCAGTACTGAGTGGGGTCTTATTGGTCCAAATTCATGCAGGCAGGTCTGACTACCTGCAGTGGTGCCCCAACTGTGGAATACACTCCCCAGAGAGGTTCGCCTGGCGCCAATTTTTTTTTTTTTTTGGTGCCAGGCGAAAACCTTTTTATTTTCCCATTATTTTAATTGTTAATTGTTTTTAATTGTCGCTTTAATACTTAATCACTGGATGCTGTGCCATTTTTAGTTTATTTGCACTTGTTGTAAACCGTCCCAACACGCACAGTAATGGGATGGTTTATAAAAGCTTTAAATAAATAAATAAAGCAAGCTGTGTCCAAGAATATGAAAATCCAGCTCACTTTTCACCAATTTATGGTGCAAAACCTGTTTAAAGAGGAAACATCAAAGGGAAAGGAGGAGGAAACTAAAGGCTTTACACAGGAAACTAAAGGCTTTACACACACTGTTTGCAAAATTTGACTTTTCTGCTGTAAGGACTATAAACCTTTGTCAAAATGAAACTGAAGGGTCTAAGAAATTGAGTGGTGCATGCTAGATTGCTTAGGAATTCCTGTATTCAAGAAAATCACAGCAAATGAGTGGCACCTCCAATGCGATAGCATTGGGGCATTTCTACTCCTCCACAACTCTGTTTCACCCCTATTTTCTATTCCCCATTCATCCCAGCAGCCCCACACACTTCGCTGATCTCTCACGTGTGTGGGATGTCATCTTGGCTGTATAAAGATCAGAACTCACTCATGAGTATGGATAATGAGAGTCTAAAAAGAGGTAGACTCTCCTGGTGCCCCTTGGATGGTTTGAAGTACAATTCCCATATAACCCTCTGCTTGGCCAGTGGCCAAGAACTATGTGAGTTCAAAACATCTGGAGGGCACAAGGTTGCCTGCCTCTGAGCTGACCTGTGTCCTTTCATATGCCAGTAATTACTGCTCATCATCAGCTTTTCCAGACTCACACTCCACCATTAAGACCAATCTGTCCCAGGCACCCAACTGATTTAGATTTACATTTGATTTACATTTTTGAAACTATATTTTTACCTTTATCCATTCAGATCTCTCCTTCTCAGTCTCCTTCATCGTTGCTCTTCTTTTCATTCTTTCAGTCTCTGCATTTTATGTCCAGATAACATGGATGACATAGCGGGTTCAGCCCACCCGAAGTCAACAGAACTCTTCCTGTTAGCTACTACTTGCTACAGCAAACAAAGAGGTCAAAACCCTCCATGTCACTGCAGCACAAATTATGCCATTTGGACCTTGTCCTTTTGTTTGCAGTACCACGCTGAAACAAAAAAAGCTCAAAACAAATCTGCAATGGATGAGGACCCCCACTCCAATGGGAGTCACCCCCCACTGCAATTTGCATCAGCAAAACGTTCATACCTTTGGGCACCTTCAAGAATACTTTAAAGCAAGTGACTAGAGTAATTGGGGAGCACCGAGGAAGATCTGACAGTAACAAACAGTTGGGCAGCTGAAATCTAACCATACTATTACACTCCACTGATTTCATGGTAAAAGAAAAACAAGTATTTATTATCGGTGACAGCCAGCGTGACCTCAGAGAATCTTGATTTTACTCTGTCTGGGACTGAAATGTAACTCTGTATTGTGGAGCTGAACCTCACACAAATGGGCAGAATCTGGCCCCATGCCCAGGATTTCACTCCTCCCCCAAAATATATATTTTGGGTTATATTATGCAATCTTAAGACCCAGAAACCAGAGCATGGTGAAAAAGATATACACTTAGAAATAAGGAATTCTGAGCTCAGGAATTCTGTTTTGAGTATCAGAGATGAATGGAGCCCATAGACAAGATTCCACTCAAGGTTATCTCAAACTCCTTTTGAGTGCTTCCAGAACAATAGTTCCTAGCGGTACCAATCCAAATACATTGTGCAATTTCTTGCTGTTACTGTGGATCTGCTGTGGTAAAAAACAAGAGAGAAGTAGTACTAGGAAACCACAGGAGAGTTTTAAATGTAAGACAACAAGGGCCTCTGGAAAATTCTGTGAATCAGGCAGGACAATTTCATAGTAAAAAGCCTTATCTGGAAGGACCCTTAATTTCAGCAGAAGTAAATCAGGGATCTCTTCATTGCAGCTGCAGTTAAACAACTGGAAGTCAGAAAACATCCTTGCCAATCAACCACAAGTAAGCTAGAGAACTACAATCCAGATCTACATTCTGTCCATTTCTGCCTGTCTCGAAGGCTCCGCAATTCTGTTGCCAGGCCTCAGGTGGCATTTGAGGCCAGAACAAGTTTTCTTCTGGAGTTCTAAGCAGTCACAGGGTTGGGGGGGGGGGGGGGGGTGCCATGTGTGTACAAAACACAGCTTGCTGCAGTTGAAGACACTGGGAAGGCTGCAATGTCAACAGGGGCTACTTGCAACCCATTTTTCATTTTCAAGAGCCTTGCTTTCCAGATGCTGTTCTTCCCCCTCAGCCCACCCGCCTAAAATAAGACATCAGGACACTGGAAATGAAGTAGCAGGCATGTCTTTTGTTTTTAATCCTCCCTTCAAACACACGCACATTTTCCTAGAATTTGTCCCCCACAGAGAGTAAATAGACACAAATAAGTTAATAATTAAAATGACAGGATGGGGTCAAACACAAACTGCAGCTGGAGGGAAGGGAGGCAATAAATATGAAGCAAGGATAAAGAAAGGAAGGGGGACTCCAGAAGTAAACTTACACCATCAAGCACGCTGGTTTTCAAAAGAACACCAGGATTCCTCAGGAGTCTTATCAGAAGTTTCTCAATTAACAGCTAGGTGGACAAACCACCCACAATGACAGGGTTTTTCCTGCTGGGCACGTTCTGGGCTGTGCGCCTTTGGTGCGCACGAAGCACTGGGGAGGCCTAGCAGGTGCGGCTGGTGGCCACACATGTACAGACGCTGCACCTCCAAACATGCCACAGGAGTGCTTCTTTTTAATCACATGCACTGAATCCTTGCCAGATGTGTTGAGATGGAAAGGCCTCCCTGAGGGCAGACTGCTGAAACCCCCTGATCTAGCAGGCTATGCAAAGGGAGGAGCACTGGGGTACAGTGTGCTTTGCAGGGCTTCAAAGGCATGGTCTGTAGGCTGGGCATCACAGCCGGGCCCAGAGGACTCTTAATGCAAAGGCCCCAGGACGCCTGTGCTCCGATCACACAGGCTTGTCACTAGGGCCAACCTTGAGGGTAGGCACTCAGGCACCTCCCGCAGCCTGCAAGTGCCCCGCCTCTGGTTCTGGCCCAGACCTTAGTGTGGGGATAAGGGCAGCACAGATGTCGCTGCTGGCTTGCTTGCTGCCTGTCAAGCAAGCAAACGGAAGCACTGATGAGAAAGCAGACGAAGATCACAAGCCGCTGGTGACAATGGGTAAGAGTTCTTGAAGGAGGGGCCCCATGGAGGGTGCTTTTCCCAAGGGTCTTTAAAAATCTGGAGCCAACACTGGTAATACCGCATGGACCACGAGTGACTCGTTTGCACCATCATTCCCCGCCCAGCACAGAGGTTGCTCCCTCCCCTCCACACAGGCTCCCTGACTAGCTCACAGGAAAGCTTCCCATTCCCTTCTTCACCCTGGTGAACAAGGAACAGTGACGTCGCCTTCCTCATGGATCCCAGGGCCACTGCTTGTAGTCACGGAGATGGACCTTGTTGATATGGAGCCCTGGCTTGGCTGGAGTACATGCAGGGCCAGACATGATGGCTGGATGCCTGTTAGTCAGCAGGGACGATGCCCCCTTCCTTTGGTTCAGTGGGAGCTGCACGTGCCTCTTGGCCAACAAGAGACCATGTTCGGCTTAGGCACTGTACCAAGCAGCGACTGAGGGGGGGCTGCACCAGGGGGGTGGTATTAGCCAAAGTGAAACACGGGCTGGGCCCTTTTCCTCCCTACGTCCGGCCAGTGCGAGTGAGTAGGGTGCAGACACACGAGGTGTCAATCCTGATCCAGCGCCAGGCCACAATCTTGTCAGAATCCACCGTGAGGGCCCTCACGTAGGACTGTTTAGCCTTGCATTCGGAGATCCAGTGGCGTCGGTCCACACCCCGACAACCCCCCACTGTGCCCCCTGCCGGATTACATTTCGTCTCAAAGAAATACTGCTTCAGGGGGCCTGTAAGCGTCTGGACCTCAGAAAGCACGGTCACAGTTTTGCCACGGATGTCCACAGCTGTCCGCTTGTCTGTCACCCAGACATTGACACTGTCACACACCGACATTTCTCCTCGGCGGATGGACCCATCCAGTGACCGTTTGGACTTGAGCGTTCTGTTAGCAGCCTGCCCTGGCTGGGCACTAGAGTCCTCCATGAGGAAAAGCAGCGGTGGCCCTGCCGGCTCACGGTTGGAAAGAGCAACCCGTGGAGAGAAGAGGTCCCAATCCTGCAAGGGAGCCTCATTCCAGAGGACATCGGTAGTGTTAAGGAGGGTAGTGGTGTGGGAAAGAGGGGCAGCACGGATGACACAGAGCAATGGGGTGACCATGGCATGGAAGAGAATAAGCATCACTCCCTGCACAGCGGGGACCTGGGAGGGAAGGAAGGAAAAAGAAAGAAATTGTCTCAGAAATGGCTCAACTGTCAGCAAATTGCTCACAAAACAGATGTTAGGGCCCTGTTCCCACCTCTGGTTTCCCCCCTCCATTATCTTCCACCCCTCTGACTCCACCACAAAGACTGAGAGGTCCCTTAGTAGCATGTGGTCTCATGAGCTCCCAGCAGCCACAGTTGCTGCCATCTTAGTTTTCACAAAATTCTGTGCCCCAGAATAGAGCTGGCCTGAGGCAAAATGGTGGCCACATTAGTTGACTGGATTGTCAACAGAATCCTACTTCTGTTGCAATTTTCACCACACCTGAGGACAGAAGGACAGGCCGTGTGTTGCACACGCATTTTAGGAGGTGCAGGGTAAGCCATGTAGCACAACAGAAAGAAACTCTGGGGGGAGGGGGCGGTGTTGAGGGAACAGCCAAGGGCTGTTGTTGCTGCCACCCCTGCAACATGTGGCATCTGAGCAGCTGCCACAGTCTACTTAATAGTAGGGTGGGCCCACCCATGAAGCATTGTGGGTAAAAGCAAACACCGCCAGCCACTACAAAAAAGCATGCCATCACCCAAATGTTTACCCACAGTGTGCCAAAGAACAAAGGAAGTTTTCACTTCATGACAAAACATTTAGCAGCTGTGGCTACAGAGGGGGTTCAGAATGAAGGCCTCAGATAGCATCACCTGGGTTGATGGCCATGGCTTCCCACAGTTGCCCAAGATATGCCAGATCATGATGCCGAGCATGTCCTATAAAAGCAGTCATGGTTGTCTGGTTAACACTCACCTGGGGCAAAAAAAGGCTGAGCAGAGAACATCTCAGAGGCCCAGGCTGGGAAAAACAATAGAAAATGAAGGCTTTTCTACATGAAGCATTTATCGTACACTCATTGTTCCCTGCTCATGATTGTGACAGGCTTTCTAGACAATGTTAAGAGACTCAAGTTTTGCTTCTGGGTCTAACTGGCATTTTTGGCTATTTTTTAGAGTAGGGAAAACTCAGCATTTAATTGTAAAAAAGGATAGCCTCTCATCTATTTACGCCATTTCACTATACCCAATGCCATCGAGAGGTTACATGTTGGAAAAGTGGGAAAGGAAATACAACTTCTGTGGTGAAACCGTATATAGATACAGCCAATTAACCACCAATTAACTGCCTCCCGTAGAAAAACTGATAAAGCCAAAATGCTGAGAAAGAATGCGGGGCGGGGGGAGCGTCCTTTTAGCCTTGCTCATAGAAACTAGCTTTAGCTATTGCAGATGTTTGGGAGAGTCTTGAAATTGCTAGAACTGGTTTATTGCTGTTTGTTTATTCTATTCTATTTATTGTTTATTCAAGATAACAATAGTTTGAAATATTTTGAAATAGCTAGAGCTGGTTTATTGCTGATGCTCTGCATTGGAGAAAAAAGAAAATTAATTTTTAATTAATTAATTTGCAAATTTCTTTGTGAATTTTAAGAGGAAATAGAAAACAATCAAGTGTGGAACCGTCAGTATAGCAGCTAAAGCTGCACTTCTATAGCTTTGTACCTGGAAGTAAGCCCCACAGAACCCAATGGTTAAAGCATTAACAGTGCAATCCTGCATATAGCTACTCAGAAGTAAGGTCCATTAAGTTCAGTGGAACTTGATCCCAGCTCCATGTGTATAAGATTGCAGACTTATTGTCACTGTACCTGGATACTATGACACTTGACCTCTCTTGCCTGCTATGCCAGCTAGCAGCTGCTCAATTTACCTTTAGTAGCTGCAAACTTGTCTCAAAAGAGGTGTCTTGGGTCATTTGGCAGCATTAAGCAATCCCCTGAAAAGGTTAGTAGCAATATTAGGTGCGTTTGTGGTAGAGCAGTAACTAGGGAGTATGTCATATACTGGAACAGGTTTTTAGAGGCTTGGTCATAATGCTTCACTCTGAAAAGAAATACTTGTAGCTTATAACAATCATAGCTTCAATCTGTCTGGTATTGCTGAAGGTTACCTTTAGGGCAGGGAAGGATAGGATCTGGGTCAATTGTTAGATCCCTGGTCAGTCTGCCACATATTAGCAATGATTTCTGATTTCCAATTGCTTGGCAATAGCAGCGCACCCTCATTGCCACTGACTTGCCCTAAATCAAGCTTCCCTGACATGGTGGC